CGGCCCCCGGCCCTGCGTGGCCGCGCGTGAGCGTGAGCGTGGACCCGGCGCGGCGCGAGCTCCTAATTGCTTTTCTAATTCGGGAGCGCAGAGCCCACCGGGCACGGCCGGCCTGGTACCCGCTCGGGACAGCTTTGTCCTTGCGAGTCACCATTTGAAGGCTGGGGGGCAATGCGGGGGGGAGGGGGGGAAGCCCACTCGTTTCTTTTCCCTTCCTGGTAATGTTTACTCGTTTATCCAGACTTCGAGTGTGGTTTTGAAATGGAAAAGAATCGTTCTATAGATACTTTCTAAATCCTCTAAAATTAAATGTGTATGTGTGTGGAGATGATGACGTGGACTTTTACTTGAATATTTTTAACCGAGGAAATCTTGCACCTCCAATGTGGATTTTTTTTTTTAACTTATGTAAAGGTTTTCCTTTTATAGCTCAAAGGAAACCTCAACTTTATAAGCCATACTGGTAATCCTTTCTGTCCCCTTTTGACTTATTTTGTTAAATAATTATGTACTCCTAATTTTACCATTATGGAGGAAACGATAATATCTTTGCATTTTGATGCTTTCTAAATATCCAACTACACCCACCTGATTTTAAAAACCCAGTTTAGAGTAAGGGGCTTCAGTAAAATATATAGCATCTCACTATTTCATGTTTTCTTCTGCTGGCATTGAAGAAGTTTTTTCTTTTTTTTTTTTTTTTTTTTAGCAACTAATTGTTTAATACATTTTTAAATTGCTGAAGTTACAGCAGTTTACCTTGGGAAAACTGATCCAGCAATTAAGAAACCAATATGCCATTTTCAAAACACCTGTGATCTTTCTTACTGTCAACCTCATTTCCTTTAGACTTAGGTTTTTTTTTTTAAAATCTAGCCTAGGGTCTGTGAACAAATCCATTCAGTCTAGTGGAAAAAGTCACCGTTTTAGACACAGAGGGTGTCGGGAAGCGTAACTGGACATAGGCACTGTCCTCAGGTATAGCCTAAGTCAGACACTAGGAGATTAAAGAGTTGCCCTAGCAAGGAAGCACAGGGAGGGCCAGTGCTGTGCCTGCTGCAGGGGGACAGCTTGAGAGAGAGTTTCTGGAGGAACTTGCATCTGATGGGCAGGGCTTGAAAGACGGTTAAGATTTTGTACCTCTGGAGATAGAGAAAAAAGGGAAGCAGTCTTTCTAGGCCAAGAAAACAGCATCACTGAAGGCAGAGGTAGGTGGCTAAACTGTTTAGGGAGCAGTAACACTTTTAGTTGGCTGAAGTATGAAAGGTGAAAGTCAGAAAGGCTAAACTGAGCTAAATCATAATCTTGGAATCTGGACCAGCAGGTGGCATGGAGAGTAAGGTGCTGGATCCTACATGTCCAGCTCAGACTTTGCAGTTTGAGCCTTGGGCCTCGCCACTTGAGAATCATGCCAGGTGTTGTGTGTGTTGCCCAAAATCCCTACAGGAGAGTGGAGGAAAAGGGATTGTGGTGTGGCCATCACCCCTGGGGTGCAATTTTTTTATTCCCCCCACTTTGGCATGCATATACCACCCTATAGCAAAAACTAAAAAAAAAAACCTTGAAATCCAAGAAGTTCGGGCTCAGTTTTGTAGGCAATGAGAAACCTACGAATGATTTGAAATGGGGGGAGAAGGAGAGCAGAAACAGGAGACCATTTACCTTATTGAAGGCGAAAGGAAATGAAGGCCTAAGATATTCGAGTGCGGTCGAGTTCATCCCTCTATGGGGCCAGGCCAGTAACAGAAATCGGTGAAGAATGTGTAGTGGAGGAGGCCCAAACAAAACTGAAAGGGGCACGCCCAGGCGAAAGGTGCAGCCTCTGCTCAGCTTTTCTTGGTTGTGGCCACGCACGAATGTGGGCCTGAGGTTGCCAGATCTAATTTTCAGGGGAAACTGGAAATCTGGATTTTAATGTAAAAAATCTACCAATTTAAATACGGGCTGCTAATTAAAACAAGAATTAAAAACAGGCCTGCAGCCTAGCAGGTGTTTAACTTCTGGGTAGACACGCATAGCTATGTGGGAGAGATTTAGTACTCACTTGTCCATGTTAGTTCGGATAACTGCTTTCACACCAGATTTTGACATATGCAAAAAGGAACACATAGGAACAGTGTGCACTGCAGCTTTCATGATAAAGTTTTCATATTCCGATTTCTTCAACGGGATAGCCCTTTTCACAGTATTTTGTATGCCATGTAGAATTATACTTTTCATGCCCATTTCCTGTGAACTTAATTATGATTTTTTTCCTGCAGAACTTTGGTTACCAATATTAAGGAAATCTCTCTATTTTTACTCTTTAGTTTAAGATATAAGATCTAATTATGAGTGATCAAATCAAATCTATTGTGGACAATCTCAATAAGGAGCCTTTTAAGAAGAATTATAATTTAATCACATTTGATTCCCTGGAGCCAATGCAGCTATTACAAGTTCTCAATGATGTTCTGGCCGAGATTGACCCCAAGGTAAGAGTTTTCCCTTTCTCTGTGATGAAAAGGGTGACAGGAAAGCCAGCTTCTGCCTCTAAATAGCTGTCGGTCTTGAGCAGATTACTTAACCTCTCTCAGTCTTAATTTTCATGCCTGTAAAGTAATAGTAAATGATCATCCAGGGTTCTCTCCTAGCTCAAAAGTTAAATGATCTGTTTGTGCCTTATTTAGAAATAATTTCTGTATTTTCAGACATAAATAGATTTGATCCAGGAATGAAAATGTTTTTACAAAGGGTTTTATTGTATTGCAAGTTAGCTCATGTCTCTCATACACTGTTCTTTTCCACAGAGGACTTTTTTTTTTCAGCTTAACATTCTTAATGTGAGTCCTGATCTGACTTGTGTGCACTGTCACTTGGAATCTGAGGGCCTCCATACCTAATCTGTTTACGAATGAAGAGACCATTGTGCCTGTTCTGTTCTAGGAGGGCAGTCTTGTCAGTGAGCTTAATATTATTCATTGTTAGATACACAGCAATAACATATTTTTCAATTTCTTTATTTGTTAGCAAGTTGTCGATATCAGAGAGGAGATGCCAGAGCATACAGCCAAACGAATGTTGAGCCTTCTTGGTATCCTTAAATATAAACCTCCAGGAAATGCCACGGACATGTAAGATTCTGATCATATATTGCTTTTTAAAAACTATGCTTTAATATCCAAACCCTTGTATGCTACTGTCAAATAATTTTAGGCAGTACCAGGTTTCTCTGACTCAGTGCACTCAGAACACCACTGATCAGAGTAGTCTTAAACCTAATGTTAATTATGTCATGTGGTAATCTTAATCTTTCCCCTAATCAAAAAAGGTCAGTAAGGGCTCTCTGCAGACTAGCAGTAAAGGGAGCCAAGGGCTAGCTGGTGGCATGGTGGTTAAGGCAGCTGGATTGCACATGGCTGACTGCATAGTGGGTGCACGCTTGCATGCCCCAAATCAAAAAGGAGTGAGAAATTGAAAAAGAGATTGCAGTGTGACCACCCCACACGAGTTGCTTCTCTTTCTGCCTCTCTAGCTTTTAATGTGCCCTCTGGCAAATTACAAAAAAAAAAAAAAAAAAGGAGCTGGATCCCACATGGCTACCTACAGTTGGAATCCTGGCTCCAGATGCTTGAAAAAACCTACTGGGCTCAAGTGCATGAGTGTCCCAAATCCTGACAGTATAGAGAAATGGGAGAGAAGGGATTGTGGTATGACCACACCCTACTGGGAGTGTCCTCTCTCTCTCTGGCAAGTGCACACACCCTCTGGCAATTCAAAAAAAAGGCAAGAAAGAAAGAAAGAGAGAACAGCAAATGATGTAATGGTTATGTCCCTGGACTCCCATGTAGTTGAACCCAGTTCAAGTCCTTGACCTGGTGGCTTAAACCTCACACTGGGCATGCCCAAGATGAGAGTGGAGAATGGAGGAGAAGGGATTACAGAGTGGCCATCCCCCCGGGAGGTGATTTCTTGCTTTCTGTCTCTTCATTAAGTGCATGTGTCCTAAAGAAAAAAATAATTGAAAAAAAAGGTTGGGTAAACCTACTGTACTACCTTATTATGTCTGTCATCTTAGATAAAAACAATGTAGGGTCAGCCTGTGGCATGGTGGTTAAGGCAGCTGGATCCCACATGACTGACTACATGGTTTTTGATTCCTAGACCCAGCAACTTGAGAAACTTTTTGGGTGCGTGTGCATGCGTGCCCAAAATCCTTAAAGAAGGAAGAGATAGAGAAGAGATAACAGTGTGACCAACCCCCAAGGAGGGTGCTTTCTAACTTACCCTCTCTCTTACTCTCTGTCTCTCTCTGACAAGTGCATGCACCCTCTGGAAAATTTAAATAAATGAATAGCACTGCTCATGCAATGAAGTGAAATATTAAGGCTAACTGTACCAATTGATGGCTCCAAGAGGACTTGCTGGGATACTCCAATGACATATTGAGGTCCTCATTTTTCTAATTTTCTAATTAATGTACAGACTGACTTCAGAATAGTCTTGAGTTTATTTTTTTAATGGTTATAGAAATCAATCAGGACATCAAAAATTAGATTTCGAGCAAACATTCTCTCATTTCAAGGTTTACTGAGAGGCATGCACATGCGTGCGTGTACATGCATGTTTGTGTATGTGTGTTTTTATTTCTTAGGAGTACCTTTCGCCAGGGTTTGGTGATTGGAAGTAAACCTGTAATTTACCCCGTGCTCCACTGGCTTCTTCAGAGGATGAATGAACTGAAGAAAAGAGCATATTTAGCTCGTTTTCTAATAAAACTTGAAGTACCAAGTGAATTTCTTCAGGACGAAATTGTTGCTGACACCAATAAACAGGTACATAATGGTATTTTTGAAACACTCTGTAATGGATTTAAAGGTATACAATCTAAATACAAAGTATTCTTTTTATTTTAAAAAATAGACTTTCCTTAACAGAAACTGAAAGATTGGAAGGTATCACAGCAGGGAAGACAGCTGTAGATACCAGAGATAGTACAGGGTGTCGGATGGTAGGGCTGGGTAATAGGAGGGGGGAAGAACGGGAAAACATTTAATTGATGCAGAAAATGAAAAATAGCTTAAGAAATAGGTAAGTTTTTGTGTAATAGATTTTAGCTTCTTTTACCACACAAATGAAAAAATTTCATGTTAATCTGTTTGTAGCTGTATTTATCTCAACATTTTGTAAACCTCAAATGTACTCAATAAAGATTTTTTAGGGAACCAGCAGTTAGCATAATGGCTATGTCGTTGGACTCCCACGTAGTCAACCGTGGTTCGCGTCCCAGACCCAGTGGCTTAAAACTCACGCCGGGTGCATATGCGTGCGTGCCCAAGATCCCGAGAGGAGAATGGAGAAGGGATTGCGGCGTGACCATCCCCCCTGGGGGGTGATTTCTCGCTTTCTGTCTT